AGTCAGGGACATCACCTTTTACATTATCTGTTTGCAAATGCTATCAACCCCAACACAATAAATGAAACGTTTTGTCTTCTCTTGTATCCTTCCCCACTGGCTTTATGCATCCCCTGTTATTTTTCCGGGTCTTTTAATCAAAGACTTCAAACTCATGCGCACATCCATCAAACACGTATGTTGATACAGTGGTGTATCTCGCGAAAATGTTGTGCAGTTTATAATTTCACAGCACTTTACGGCTTGCTAGAAACTCTGCCAGAATACTACAAGATCCATCTCACTCTCTGTACTCTCATCTTAGTAAATGTATCTCTACATCTAGCACTCTCTCCAAGCATAATATAGTATAGTATATATGTAGTATAAATATATATATATATATATAGTACATTATATAGCAGCATGTATCACAACGTACAAGTCTTCTTTAATACCGTACCTGGCGCGGTTCCTTACCAACGTCAATCTTGTCATTAGGATCCTTAAGCACAAACTTTGCTGAATTTACTTAATTTATTTGTATATGTAGCTTATCATCGTTCCTTTTATTTATACCATACCATCTCTACAGAGAAGTGGCTATGTAGTGGCTGAATGTTCATCCCCCATGGGGCAAATTAAAACGGCTTCTTGACTTGATGCAAGTTAAGATGCAACGGAACCTAATGTATTCACTGTCCTTATAAACTTCCGGGAATCTATCTAGGCTTGACTGTCTATGTATCCGTGGGATTTCACACGGTATTTCGTAGACCAAGGGATGGGCTATTTGGCCCCATATTTCCCTCGATAGACAGTGCTCGCTCAAACGATTGATTACTGAACTACATTTACTGATCACGTTAGGCTAAGTCAAGAATAACTGAGCTCTGCTAGAGGATGACAGTGAGTAGTCAACACTGATATGGTCATTGGGAGTAGTGAATATCGCACAAATTCTTATCCCAGAAGCGATGAACTTTAAATTGTTTGAATGCCTTTCCTGATTGCGTATAGCGGAAGGTCCATAAGACTGTGTTCAAAATATTTTGAGACATGTGAGAGAAAAAAAAACAAAGGATTTCTGCAAATTAGGGACAAATGATCATGCCTTGGCGAAGCAAATGTAAATCGTCTGATGATATCTTAAAAGTCACGGTAATGAAATATGCACACGCTAATGACTCCTAACGAGGAATTTCGTGATGTTAAATTTTAGGCTCTTTAAGAGGCAACCAAGTAAAAAAACAATAACCAAGTAAAATGTGAGATAATATGTTACGATAAAAATACCTGGAAAGACGTGGTACAATCCGATACGTAGCGCATTGGAATGCAAGATGTAAAAGGAAAACCTCACCACTTTGTGGATCCCGCTGGTGACCCAGTTAGATTAAGCGTGAGTATGGTTTGAAAATAAAACCCAAATATGCAAAAAAGGATGTAAATTATGCAAGGTAGGATTGATCATTATGTGCGCCACCGTTTTAAGGGTGCGAAAATACTCCTAACAATGTGCAATTATTTTTAGATTTCTTATCAAAGATCGATAAAAAAAATTATGATGCAACTAAAAGTAAATTGGTTACGATTTTGAGTTGGAGAGATTTACAACTATCATCAGCCTAATGATCAATAATTAATGACTCAGATGAGCATAGTATTGGATAGAAAATGCCATAGACTGGTACCTTGCAGTTCAACTAGCTCGAAAGGGAGTAAAGAAATTCGGCAGCTTCAACAACGTGCAAACTGGTGATGAATTGTGAAGTACTTAGTCAGTGGAGCAACCGTCAAATTTTTATTTTTTTATTACAATAAATTTATCCGAGAAGTCCTTAGAACACGGTCAGTCTTGCGTTTCGTATCAATGGATGTATATACTTTCTGGAAAATTAGATTTCCGAAATTTATTTCAGGTTGCCCGAAAATCATTTCAGTGTAGTCCGGTGTCAAATCCAGATGTCCATATGGGACACTGACTCCGTTATAATGACCAAGACCACACATACATTTTTAGTCTCAAGGCCCGTTCAGTCTCCTATTGAAGGGTAGTGAGTGGGGGAGAGGACGAGAGACAAAGTTGTGACATTCTTCAGTCACCAGCTCTAAATCGCAAATACCATATCACATCCTATCATTTTCCGCTGACAGCAGTGGATCATACTCGATCTATAAGAGTGCCATTATTCCATATGTCTATTATGACATGAGAACACACGTTCAGAGGTGAACAATTGTTTTCATTTTGTAGTATCTATACCACACCGTACGAATGCGTTTGAAGAACTTGTACGTCATGTTTGACATTTAGTGAAATCCAGAACTGCTCGTGAATAACAACGTTATTGAACAGAAGTTGTGTACTGCCCAATGCTTCGACCACCTTGACTGGTCTTTGTCAGGAGATGGTGAATCGGTCAGTAATCTGACTGAATATGACACCGCGGAAGGTCAGCGTGTACCTAAATGGTGCAAAATAGCATGTGTTTGTGTGAGTGTGCGTATGGTTAGGTGAGAGCGTTGTGTAAGCGCGCCTCGGATAGATTTTTGTGGTTCAGCCGCCTGCCTTTGATAGTGTTTAATAGACTTAGCTATACGCTCGGCAAAGTTTGACTATGGATGAGATTCCTGCAACCGGGGCGTAGAATAGACTGACTCTCCGTGCAACGGTGTTCTGCACGGAAACGCAAACTTGTAAAGAGCACTCGAGTTTCGTCAAATAGCATTTTATGTCCTCCTGACAACGCGTGTAAGGCAATGGCCGACTCCTTTTCCAGTTTCGCTAGCTGAATGCTATTCTTGCGGTGAGTTCTTGGGCATCGTTTGTGTTCAGCTAATCGACACTTAAACTGTCTAGTTGTTTTTCCTATACAGCGTGCTACACAATCTCCGCATTTGTATTCAGATGCGCAATCGGTAACATTATGTGGGGGATATAGAAACCTTTTGATGCGCCAGATACCGATATACATTATTATCAGGTTTAAAGACAGTAATGAGGTTGGAGTAGCAATGTCCTGATAGTTTCTAATGTTGTTCCCGGTAGGGATGCTGTGGTAATCCTAACCTACGAGATGAGGCATACCACAGAGCGACATGTTACAGTTTTAGGACAACCGGGTGACGTCAGCAAAGCGCGTACGTGTGACAGCTTGCGGACTGCAAACCATAGGCTGCTTGTACCAATCAATCAGAAACCGTGCGGCTCAGACAGAAGCTAAACAACACCAGATATACTAGCACGCGATTGGCAGAGGCTTAGACGACCAATGAACTTGTTTTGTGCATATCATTTAATCTCCGTGATATCTCTCAATAAACGAACTGCTATTCCAGTGGCCTTTTCCTCGCTTCTCGGTTACGTAGGATATTGCGTGAAAATATCAGTGCAATCCAGTGCTTTCATCTCGTCCGTGATTGCTAATCGGTGATCAGTGCATACTACAATTACTACGACTACTACAGATGCCTAGTTATGTTATGTGAAGGTTTGTTCGATGTGCGCCGCTCTCGCTCCATAAAAGTGAGAGTTCTATCGATCAGTGGTGACGGGTTTCGGTTTGTGATGAAGGGGTTCCTGATCTTCCTATTTTCCGCCTTCATCAGTATGCCATCTGAACATACTTTGCCTGCTTTGTTGAAGAAGGAACGTGTGACTGATTGTCTGATTTCAAAAGTATGGCAGGAGTTATAGTTTGAATATCTATGTCTATTTGCGATATACAGTGAGATCAAATATTTTGCACTCCAACTTCACAAAAGAGTCGAGAAAACTGTGTGGGCTAAAAACTGGTTTACGAATCACACCGTTATGATCAAGGTCAAAGGTCACCGCACAGCACCGAATAGCTGCGTCACCCATTGCTCGTCCTGTCTTACATATTGGACATCAAGTGAACATGACCACGATATTATCTTCGGTGTTATCTTCACGCAAACTTCTTAGTCGCTCCAGTTTGAGGGGTCGAATGCTATAAAATGATGCAAACCTAAAATGTGCAAACACAAGGAGTTATTTACAACTCTAGCCCTGCCTGGGTAGAAAGTGGGGGAAAATTTAACACTAACAGTTCATCCACGACAATTGTAACTTACTGGTTTTCATTATATTTTTCGACTGTAGCATATACCTGAAGAAATACAGATAGATTTTTCTGGAAATAAAAACTGTACAACAATGTTATCCATTCGATACCGCAATACGTAGGTTTCAGCTTCAACTACTGACAAGTTTAGTACTTTTTGATTGATTATTCTTTTTTACTTCGGTTTTTCACTGAATAACCAACCGTACAATACAATAGCTTATGGAGATCCGAAAACCCCGAGGTAATTTTAAGCAAAATATGTATATGACAACTGTTGTAGTGACTTGAGTTATTAGAAATGTACGGGGCATGGTAGATTTTTCAAATTTGAGGTGATCCTTTCTTATTTTGCTTTCCTAAGTAACTGAAATGGTTTGATTTGTCCTTTTATGACCGACCATACCACTGGTTTCAAAATCTTTTTCTGTTCCCCAACCCAGTTGACTCGAATTTTATTGACAACTGCTTGGGAAAGATTAGTGAGATTCAATCTCGTGTGGTCAAAGCACAGGAGAACTTGAAACAACTGGAACAATTGGTTGGTCAGTGGCGTACAGCTCCACTCTACCAAGGAAAAGAGAGAAAATATGACTGCCTAATTCCACTGGAAGATCGCGATCAGCTGCGTGAGGCGCGATTCCGTGAGGTCGAAGCAGCTGGCAAGAAAATACATGAACTGATGAAGGTATGAAAGTGATACAAAGTGTATGGAGGTCACTCAAGCGCTAACGTTCTTCGAGTTGAAATGCCACAAATTGTGGATGTATAGATTTTAAGTTACATGTGTAGAAAACTGCCATTTGGTCTTTCAACGTGCCACTTGCTCGCAAAGAATGTCACCACATGCTTTGTTCTGCGGCCACACTTCAAAACAGTTTCACTTTTCGGATAAAATCTCAATCCTTGTTATTTTAATTTTTTTTCGATTTCATTTACAGGAAAATTTGGAGTTGTACAAAGCAGCCGAAAACAGCCCGGATTGGACTGCTTACCTAGAAGCGGCGGAAGATATGATCCTTGAAGGACTGATTGAGGCAGTTCGATGCAGTTTGTTGTATATGGCAACACATACCGAAAAGGGTAAGGTGGAATCACCTTTAATGGAAACAAAGCTCAATTTGGTGGTAAGTGATTGTGTGAAACATTCACAATTTTCTGTTCGAAATAAAAAATTTTGATAACCCTAGAGATAACCGGGAGATGAAGACAAAATGCTTTACTATGGGGGGTAATAAGATCAAAAGTGGCAGAGAAGAAGCTTAAATTATACCTGAAATGCCCATTAATTGATTAATGGTTCCATATACTTGTACAAGTGTTGAACGCACTCTCTCACCTGTTGCAGTAAATTGGTGTCTTTATCCGTAAAGTGAATAGTACAGTTCGATTGTTAAACACAAATCGTAGTACTCGGAATCTGTTTCAGGCCCTGAATAAATTTTTCATGTGATGTTTTGCTATCTCCATAGGACAATCATCTGATCTATACCCCCGGAGTGCAAGACAATCAAGGTGAAAATCTACTCGATTTAGTTGACAGTCTTGTTCAAGACATTACCGATCAATCACGTCTCATTCCATCGCTTCTCAATCCACAAATCAATCCGCTTGCGCCCAAAGAGGATACGCCGAAACCATCGGCGGAAAATGTTCCCTCTGAACCGGGCACAGACACCGGAGCGGCTGACAGCCAAGACCGTGCAGGTACATCGAGCAAACAAGCTTCAGAGCAGTCTGCAGAACTATCGGAACGTTCTTCGGAAGACTCATACATGCAGTATATTAAATCATTGACTGGGTTCTCCCAACAGGTGCTTGTTACAAGCGAAGTTTCCGAACTGATCAAGAAAGTGAGTGAGCACGTGCGTATGGCAATGCGCGCTGCGGCCGATTTTCAATCTAATCTGGAAACAAACTATTCGGTGTACTGGGCAGAGGATCGAACAGAATTTATCCGTCAGTTCTGTCGTTACGGTCGTTTGCTGACGAAAGATGATTTGAGCCCAACCGGTGAAATTGAAGCTCCCGAGAATCCACCCACATTAGAACAGTTTCGTGAACAAATTCTTAAGTACGATCGCGTGTATGAAGAAGTGGAACACATTGAAGATACTCATGTTTTCGACTCGTGGCTACGGGCTGATCTGAAGCCATTCAAGCAATCGTTGCTTGCGGTCATACGACAATGGAGTGACAAATTTAAACAATATTTGGTCGATCATGTGACATCAACACTGGAGAACCTAAAAGCATTCATTGAGGATAGTTTAACTGATATGGAAATCAAAGGTGATGCGGAAAAAGTCGATTATGATAAATTGGTCACTGTGCTTGAACGGTTGAAATTGATTCGTGAAGCTGAGGATGCCACAGACGCAGGCTTTGAACCCCTTCGAGAAACGGTAGCTTTGCTGAAGGAGTTTGGTGAAGAGTTACCCGAATCAATGAACAAACTTCTAGAGGTAAGTAGCTCCATTTAAAACACTTGTGCAATGTCAATATATCCATAGCGATCAGGAAACAACGACGCATTCATTTTAATCCTTATGCAATTACCGATTAATGAATGATATGTGCTATGCACCAATAGCTGTGGATATAAAAAAGAACTGAATGCTTTCATGGAAAGAGCTGTAAAAGGTACGGGTTTCAATGCAAATTTCTATTAGCGTAAAAGAACAGATGGGTGGGCAATGAGATTGACAATTCAATAAGAGATTCAAGGAAGATGTGGTCATCGTATTACATAAATTACATATACTGAGACAGGAGAGTATGAAAGGATTTGATTTAATATCATGGAGGGAATTTGTCGTGTATAGAACAAATGAAGCGTGAACTGAAAAGCTAGGAAGCACTGTAAATGGAAAATGAGAAACGGTTTGGCCAACTACCCGGTGGCCGACTGGGGAGCATACTTGCGTTCTACCTGTGAGGAAGCGCCGCGGAGGTCAGACCATGACTTTGCGTAGAGGCATGAAGAAGCTGGCCTCAGATTTGACTACGGTTGGTGCAGCCCACCTTCCAGGTTGGAGCCCAATGGATGAGGATTGTCGTTGTCTAGAGACACTTGAAGATATGGCCCAGAATAGAAGTCAGTGGTGCGAATGCTGTGCGGTCTGCCTGTCGGAATCCCATACCGCGTAAAAAGTGACAAACTAACAGAAAAATATCAAAAGGTATACGGTGAAACAACAAAAATTTGTTATCTGCCATTTTCCATTTTAACTGTTTCAACTTCTTTATACTCTGTTTTGTATTCCAATCCACCCATCCTCTATTATTGTTATTGTCATTATCATTCAAGCATTGGCACCATGCTTGTCCTCAAGCCGGNGTTATATATATATATATATATATATATATATATGTATACCTGTGAGGTCCCTGGTTCGATCCCCAGTTGGGTCGATGGATTCGCACTGTTGGTGAGACCCAAGCAAGTCGAAACAGCTATCCAATGCTTCCGAGCTTTCCAGTTCACGCCTCACTAGCTCTATACACGACGGATTCCATCTATGAAATATATTGAGACCCATAATTGTTCCTCCCTGAATCGACACCAGTTCTACTTTCCTTGAGTTTTTGACTGTCAAGAGCTTTGTAATGGACATCGTTAGTGAGTGGAATAAAAAACGGTAACTGCAATTGTGCATCCGAAAGGCTAATTCAATGGAGAGAATGTATTACGAGTGAGAATGAAATTGTTTGGGCTAGAACCACCTGTTTGAGTCTCACACAGTATATTTTGTATAGTCGGTTTGAAACTAATTTATTTCACCTGATAATTGTCAGCTTCAGTAAGGTAACTGCAAAATACAGCGAATGCATTTGAAATAGAACCGTAAATGTTTGTGTTCTTTTTTCTTTTCATAGACTCTGCCTGACCAGTGGCATGAACTGAAGAATGTGGCCGTACTGACCAAACAGAAAATACAACCACTCCAGGAACGTGAAGTGCAAAATATTCGGGCTCGCAGTGCCAAATACGATACGGATTCCGCTACGCTCAAGCGTGAATTCAGCGAATCAGATGTGTTTGTCTTTGACTGTTCCCATCCGTACGAAAGTTTGGATGATGTAAGTGAATTCTAATCCTGTGAGTTTCTCACTTATCTCCAATTGTAATTAACAGAACAAAAGTGTGATCTTGAGGCTCACGTATTTTCTTATGGGTACTGATTTCGAGTGACACTCACTCAAAAAGCTAATTGTGCCTTCTGTATCCAAGTGTTGGCGATTTTTTCAGTTTTAAGATTCGCGAATAATGACATCGGTTGAATTCCAATACAAGTGATCAATTGGTCAATTGGGTTTCATCCTATTCCAAACCGTGTTGGGTAACAGGATCGAAATTTGAATTCAGAATAAAGAGTAAGGAAACATGTATGTAACGTAGAACCTCTCTAACGTAGCATGTTTTATAAAAGCCCAACCTTTTAAAGCACAGATTCATTTCCCCATAACCATTAGTTACGTTAGGACGGAGTTGAAGTAACCCGTTCGATCGCGCAAGCCTCCAAGTCAAGCCACACACGCTCGCAGCGTTTCAGACGGGCTGAACCGATTGTATGATCACAGAACGTGTTAGCCAATGTCTGTCCGATCGATCATTCCATATGTCAAGGACGCATTCAGATTGGTGCGTCATTGCGCCGTTCTCGTATGCGCGATTTGTTCTATTTATTTGTGTATCGATATCTAATCAACGAATACGCACTGACTGTTGTCTCAAGCTGTGTTCTCTCTCCGCGTTATTGTTGGGGGTTAAGCAAGAGTCGCTCGTGTCATTCGTACGTCTAGTCCAAACACAACAAGTAAAACAACCTGGCTAATATCAAACTTCGGATGAATTACTCTTGTAGAGCCCACAAAATAAGTGACTTAGCTTAAGACTTCGCGATTTCACCAACTCAAACAGATATTTGCAGAGTGGGTAAAACCCAGATAAAATACGTTTTATTGTACCTGTCCGTCTCAGTCTTGACCGAAAAATGGATAGAGGTTCTGTTCGTGTGTGCATGCCTCGAACTGGGGTGAAGCAATACGGAGTAAGTCACAAAACAATCTGTCTGAGTGTCATTTAAAGTTGTACCACTGGCAATTCAAATTCTCCAGATATTGAGTCTGTCCTTGCGGATCACTGACCTTTTCAGAATTTACAGGATTGCTCAAGCTTCTCAGAGATTTCTGGATGATCACCACTGAGTGCAAAGATATCTTCGTCTTCTGTTGATGCACAGGCGGGAGGCTGAAGACATTGTTAGTGACTTTCGTCATTCATACAAGAACCTAAGCTCGGTGGTTGAATTTGCGAGTACCTTTAAATGTGCGTATGTCTGTATTACATGTGTTTCTCCCCTACCGCGGAACAATCACACTTTGTTATGTTACACTAACATCAATGGGTCACGTGCTTGATCTACATATGCCCAATTTTCTATTCCGAATCACATCCAGTTATGGTGCTTCTGGCAAATCATATTCCGTTTCTCTGATACCCATGCAGAAGCTGTACTTCATTTCTACCCTTCAATAATCAAAATGGTAATTTTCCATATATTCTGAACGGTATGAGAAATCTCTATCAAACCAACTGTATTTTGAATAGCGTAAAGAGAACATATAATATGACCGTAGCGAAATATTATCAATGAGTTTTGGTTCGACCAGAGGCATCTCTTTAAAACTCGAAATCCTCTGAATACAGATTATCAATTCTATAGTCTATATCACAGAAATCAAATGCTGTTATTCAACCACTTGTCGATCACGTGTTTGAAACATGTGCTCCTCGTGATATCATCCAGTCGTCAAGTAAGTGTGATGGATTGCAGATAAGTTGTAGCATTCACGCTTAGCTCTTTAGAACCGGCTTCAATTCCTCTCCCCAATCAAGCTAATTAGCTAAATAAATTTACTCAAAGGATGTTCATCTCAAGTTACTAAAATGGAAACATCATATTCGCTTTCCTTCTATTTTCCTTCTTTTATTGAATAACTGATTGTACAGTTATGTTTTCAGGGATCGGAACATGACTAATTAAATAGCTGTCACCAGGGTGATGAGTTATTGAAGACATATATTGAAGCTATTTTGGGGGTTCTCATAGGCACTGCACTTGATTTTAAAGAAAAAACTAAAAACGGTTATTACAAGAATGATGCGTTTTCCTCAGAACGTTCTAATGTTTTTATAGGATCCTTGCACAACTGACACTGAATTATTCAGCTCTTTCGTTCACACGAAACAACAGGAATCATCAACTTCTCCCCCACACGGGTAGTATTTCCCACGCGAACGATAATGAAATCCTTACTTGTGTGACACTGCTTTCGAGTTCTGATGAAAACGGTAATTNCGGTAATTTTGAGAATGAATTCCATGGGTAGATGCAGTTGATTGTGAGGTTCATACGATGAAGTATTTCTGTTTTTTTAGGAATGAATCTGTTTTCAAACTGTTTGTATCCGAGGTATCCTACAGAATATAGGGATATAAACAAGGATATTTTATATGGCTTCGTGAAAGTGATTTTCACCGACGCCATCCCTCTCCCCTTGCTCTGGGTGAACTATTGTACCTAAATTAGTTTGATGCCAAGCTAAACATTTATCCACTTTCTATATCATTAACTTGCTGCTACTCTTGGGTTGAACTCCATCAGCGATCGACCAAATCGGTGACTGATAGACAGCAGTCAAAACCAGAGCACGTGAATGTGGTTAATATCTATTCAAAATGAGAACTGAAAAATGATCTGTGAGTACTGTTTTGGGTTGCAATGAGTAAGAATAGATGATTTTTTCCTTTGAAAGAATGAGAAAAATTTGAAAACGATGTTGTGGAATCAATTAAAAGCATCCATCTAGTCGTAACTCTATTTCTATCCCATTTTCTGTTCGTTCGTATCCAGTGGAACAGCCGGTTGACGAAGATCGAGGAAGGTGTGACTGAGATGCAAACTTCAGCCAAGGCATTCGAAGTTCGTGACATACCTACCTATATGGATCTGAAATCAATGCGTCGGGAAATGAAAGTGACCAAACGGGTGTGGGATTATATCAACATGTTTCGCAGCTATGTCACTGCTTGGAAAACATCCAAATGGAAGGAGATCGATTTTGGCGCAATTGATGAGGTCAGTGATTTACCATCAAGCATAGCAAAATAATAACCAAGAAGCACATATTCATCCGTGTCTATATATATATGGAGATTAATGAGCGTGAGTGTGTATGTGCCGAAACGCTGCAAACAAGATGTTAGTTGAAATGGTAGTGGGGGGGGGTTGTTTGGAGAGGTACAAACATTTATGACTAATGAACACACGCAAGCATCCAGGAATGAATAGGAGACAGATAGCTTGGATTATCAAAAAAAAGAAGTACAATGAATTTTGTTGTGCAGAATACACTGGTTGAAAAAAGTTTTTTCTTTTGATTATATGGACTGATTCCCCTTCCCAACTATCTCTCTTTAGGTTATTCGAGAAATCTCGATGGAAATTCGGTCAATGGATAAAGAAGTACGTCAGTGGCCCATGTTCCAAGGATTGGAAGCCGAACTCAAAGATCTGAACGCATCTGTGACTGCTGTTAGAGATTTACAGAACCCAGCCGTGAAAGAACGACACTGGATTGAGTTGATGACCGACACCGGACGTATGATTGATATCAATGATGATACCACACTGGCCGATCTTCTGTCACTCAACTTGCACAAATTTGAAGACGAGGTTCGTGGTATCGTGTCGAAAGCCTCGAACGAACAAAAGATTGAGCGTGATTTGGAAAAGATTGAACAAGTGTGGAGTGAAATGACTTTCGAATACGACACGCACGATCGAACTGGTTTAGAATTGCCAAAACAAACGGAACAATTGACCACTACGTTGGAAGAGATTCAAGTCAAAGTACTGGATATGCTCGGCAATCGGGATAACGCATTCTCGATCGATAAGATTAATTATTGGTACAAAACCTTGTCCACAGCCGATCAGGTATTGTCGATCTGGTTTGAGACACAGCGTGTCTGGTCTGGACTGGAATCAATTTTTGTACTCTGCGATGATATCAAAGAACAATTGCCGAAAGATACGGCATTGTTTTTGGAACTAGACGAGGAATTTCGTGTGCTCATTGAGGAGATGAGGAGCAAACCGAAAGTGCTCGATGCAACCACAGATCGTCCGGAATTGTGTGGTGAAATACAGAAAATACGTGATGGGATGGCCATTTGTGAGAAAGCGTTAGCGGACTATTTGGAGACCAAACGACTCTCGTTCCCACGGTTCTATTTCGTCTCACAAGTCGATGTGACAGATATTGTGAGCAACGGGAAAGTGCCGACCAAAGTATTGCGACATCTGTCAAAATTGTTTGACAGTATTTGCAGTCTCACATTCGCCAAACCGAATGCTGAAATAAAAACCGCGACAAAGATGATTGCCAAAGTAAGGATTTATAACGAAATAATTCGCTATTTCTCTTCGGAACGTGTCTAGAGACTCTAAATTGGTAAAAAAAGAAATTCAGATTAATTTTTATAATGTTATTCAACCTCGCAGAAAATGAAAAAATGTTATCCCACTCTAAAACCTTATTCCAGCAGTTGTACTATCAGGTATGGACCGACCCATGAATGCTGCGGTTTATGCGAATCTTCTTTTCTCAACAAAATGTTCAATTCCTACAATCCCCCACCTGGCAAGTTAGAACAATGGGGCAAATGACCATATTCGAACAGCCACTACAACCAGATCTGACAGCACCCCGTCGACCTCGTGAGAATAGATTGCTGTACGTAATGCAACATGTGGTTCCAGAGAGAGTTTTAATTGCCGTGAGATGCGTCAGCTAAACTAACCGTGTAGTAATTAGTGTTGACTCATTTAGATCTTGAACACAGACTCATAACAAATGCTCCACTTCTTAAACGTTGTTTTAAAAAGCCCTAAGTTTAATTATTGTTTATCAGTAGTTAATCCGTCAATATAAAATTTACAGGTTGAGATATTGCAATGTTATTTTCATCAGTCAACAACAAGAACAACAACAACGTATAATAGCCATCTTATTGGTTTGATTGTTTGTTTGTCTTCGTCCACAGGATGGTGAAGAAGTCAAATTTGCTCAGGCATTCGATCTGACCGGGCAAGTTGAAGAATGGTTGAATGCATTACTCGCTGAGATGCGGCATACGTTGCGCAAGATCCTGGCCGAGGCGGTAGCCGCCTATGAGGAGAAACCACGAGATCAGTGGATTTTTGACTATCCGGCTCAGGTT